ATACGGGCGATACCGGCGATACCGGCGATACGGGCGATACCGGCGATACCGGCAACGCCCAAGGCGGTAGTGCCCCCGACCCCAAGAGCGGGGGGTTCGAGGACAGGACCGGGGCGAGGTGTGTCTGTGTGCGAGGCGGACCCAGAGGTTAAGGCGTTGCGAGCGGAGGTTAAGAAGGCGCACAATCGTACGAGGGAGGGGCTGTGCCCGCCGGGATGCTGCCACCAGTGCAAGTGAGTCGTGCCTTGTCTTGTGTGTGTGTGTGTGTGTGTGTGTGTGTGTGTTTCGTGATCTGGCGCGCTGTTGCTGTCTTCTTCGTGTTCCGATCGATCTCGTCTGCTCAGAAGTATTCCTTGAGGCGTTTTTGTTGCTTGTCCAACTGACGCGGACGAACCCGTTCCGTGGTCACCGGCTACTATCTACCCCCCCCCCTTCCCGACGAGGTGTTTTATTGCTTTTCCCGTAAGACTCGCTGGTTCTTCGATCTCAAGAGGTATACCGAGAAAACATTTCATATTGGCACCTTTGTTAGAAAGTAAACATATTCTCACAGAAAGACGACCCGTTCGAGATTTAGCCCTTTACTCACAGCAATACAAGAAAATTCCGCTCTTCTACTTGACAGTCCAACAGCAGTCACCAGACAACCAAGCCACCACCTCACATGTGTGAAGAACGAAGATGCTGTTGGGTACTCCTGCGAGTCTTTTTCTCCGTGCCGTCTCTTGTGAACATCTTGTCTGGGTCTATGGTGGCTCCGCCTTTCACGACGAGCCGGCCGGCCGTTTCATTCGCGCAGTGGTCGACCGCGGTTCGGTTGGTAGGCACGCCTCACCAAAAAGGAGCGTTGTTTGTCCGTCTTAGCCAAGCCTTGGATCGCCACCATCTGTAGTACCTGGTTCGCAGATCGTGGGATCGGGTGTGTGTGTGCCCTGTGATTAACATTGAGTTGTTTCGCGACTGACTGCATCTACCCGTCTTTGCTTGCGGTCTGATGTCTGTCCCATTCCGACGCACGCGCTCTCATGTCATCAGGAGGAAGTCTAAGTGGACCGCTCCCTGCTCAACGTGTCAAGAAGTTACGTGCGGGTACTGCATTAGCCTACACAGGTGAGAGAGAAGGATCCCGCTGCTTCCCTCTCGGAAGTCGAATGTTCACACGCGGTACCGCTATGTTTGGAAATATAGTAGACGTCCCTGTTGAGTGCCGGTATGTGCCCAGAAAATGTAACCGGCACTCTACCGAACCGGCACTATGCAAATTTAAAATGGCTTGGAAATTCTGTGGGTGCCCGCCGAAAACACCGGCAATATACCAAGCACTGGCACTGTTCAACCGGCACTAAACAGGGACCTCTACGGTGTAGGGAACCATTGGGATATTCCAATTGGTGCCCGCATGGTCCAGAGCGTTACGTACTTCGTTGTGTGCTTCCTGTGTTCTTTCTGATCTAAAGGTGGCACAAGACGACATCCAGGAAGCCCGTGTCATGGTAGTGCCTTGTTCACCGAGAAGAGAGTTTCGGAACGTGCGAAGTCGACCGTAGGTTGGCGGCAGGCAGCACGTGAGGGTCGGGGGTACCCGCCTGCAGTATAGCGACGAGAAAGCACCAGCAGAGGCTGGACGCGATTGAGCTTACTAAAACCAAAGCGTCGGGAAGACGCAAATACAGCCCTAGTTTTTCCCCGCAACGAGTTTCAAGCCAGAAGAACCGAACCACTGGGATAGACACACGCCGAAACATGACAATGTATGACAAATTTACCCCCCCCCCCTCAACCTTATTCTTCCTGTCACGTTAGGGAGTCCCCACTCGCGGTGTTGGCGTACGTTACTGCCGAAGACGACGCTCGAAAAAGCGGCAAACCTCCCCCTCGAAACAGCTTCACCTGCTACAAGTGCAGGGGAACGTGCTTCTGCAAGGACTGCGGTGGGCATGGGGTCCGAGCGGTCTCTCAGGCGGTGGGGAGCGGGGCCACGGCAGAGACGGGGGCAGTGTCGCCGGCGCCGGCTCCGGCGCCGGGTGAAGCAGCGGCAGCGGCAGCGGCAGCGGCGGCGGCGGCAGCAAGAGAGGGTCCCCAAACTGTCCGGACGAAGCCACCACTCACACCGACACTGGTGAAGTCGCCACCGGTGCCGCTGGTGCCAAGGGCGGCCGACGTCCGGGTTAAGGCGCCGCCGACACCAACGCCGCCGCCGCCGTCGATTGCTCCGCGATCGGGTGCCAAACCGAACCCCGCCAAGCGGGCGGCGCCAGCGGTAGGGTCGGCGGCAGCCCCCGGCTTGGAGAAACGACAGCGAATAAACCCGCCTGTGATCAGCAACGGCGACGGTAGGGGACAGCCACAAACCCAGCAGCAGCAGCACCACCACCAACTGCTGATGCAGCGGCGGCGGCATCTGCTGCAGCAGCATCAACAAAAACAACGACAATGTCAGCAGCAGCAGCAGCAGCAGCAGCAGCAGCAGCAGCAGCAGCAGCAACTTTCGTCTTTGCCCCCGTACGGCACCCCAGGTTCTGCTTCTTCTTCATCCTCCTCTTCCGGCACGTTGCGAGGCACGCCGCCGTTGGCTGCTCCGGGCGGTATGAGCTCTCTCGCGTCGGTGTTGTTAGCCGAGGAGGACGTCGGGTCCCCGTGGCGGGGGGCGGCGGCACCTCCGGCGCGCCCGATGAGCGGAATGGCTGGCGGTGGTAGCAACGGCAACCACCACCGCGGGTGGAACGCCCAGATGGCATCCCCGCCAGTTCGTAGCGGACCGGCAGGCGCTGGGCCCGAGACCCTGCTCAACGGCGGCGCCGGGGGAGCGGCGGCTGCCGCTGACGGTGGAGATCCCCGCGTGAACGGCGGCTGCTACCTCCACGGTCACCGATTTTTCCCGCTCCGACAATCTATACTGTGCTTGCTTGAAAGATTTCGCAACATTTTTTTGGCATGTTCAACTGCAGCATAGCTTACTGACACCGCATTTGAGCCAATGTCTGTTTCGGCGTGAGTCCGTTTGCCCACTGTAACTGCCTGCTTAAACAGCTCATTAAAAATAGTCCCAGATCGGTTT